AACTAGGAAACATTGTCATATTTTAATAAATATGACACTTTAATAAAAGTGTGTCATATTTTAATTGCCACTTTTTCTCCTAAGCCCATCTACCAGATTTCACCAAATATAAGATGTCACTGGTATACACTGTTTTTAACCACTAACAAACAAGCTAAGTAAATATTTTATGATGGCTATGCCTAACACCATGGGAGTTCTAGAGTCGAGGCTGTAAAGTCCTTACAAGAACTAAGTCAGTCATGGAAATGGGTTAGATGCCAAATTCCTATTCATTTTCGTTGTACTCTCCCAAAGCTGTTAAAGAGTCATAGATTTACCTCTAACTTCTGATGTGAACAGAGTCAGATATTAATCATCATGGTTTGGCTGGAAAAATACCTAACATGCTTATAGTGATTCTCAATTTTGTTGATGGTGACTTTTTTTCTTTTTTTGGTAAGTTTTTATTTGGAAAATGTCACATATATGCAGAAGTAGACAGAATAGTATAATGGATCCCAGTATTCAATAATCATCAATCCATGACCAGTATCATTTGATTTCTAACCTACTGTCTATCCACCCCATTTATTTTGAAGCATATCTTAGACACATGTCATGCCATTTGTATGTATTTATGTAGGTGTCTGTAAAATATAATGACTCTTCAAAAACATATACTCACAATACCGTTATTACATTCTAGAAAAATACAGCTATAATTTGTGGCATCTTTTTCTTAATAATAGATTTTGTATTCATTAATTAGGTTTTAAGCTGTTTTTATCTTTGGAGGTTTTTAAAAAGAAAAGCAAATTAGGTCCACTTTGGTGTCCACTGATTTCTTTTTAAGAAATAAATATGAGGGGCGCCTGGGTGGCTTAGTCAGTTAAGCGTCCGACTTTCGCTTAGGTCATGATCTCGCGGTTCGTGGGTTCGAGCCCCGCGTCGGGCTCTGTGCTGACTGCCAGCTCAGAGCCTGGAGCCTGTTTCAGTCTGTGACTCCCTCTCTCTCTGACCCTCCCCTGCTCACGCTGTCTCTCTCTCTCCTAGAAATAAATAAAACATTAAAAAATAAATAAATAAATATGATGTTGGTAGGGTATATTGCAGCTCTGAATAGTGTTGATCTTGATTTTTCCATTCTGTAGCTTTCATATGAATGTGTTCTCTAGTTGAGAAGTTGTATTAAATATATGCCTGTTCTTGGCATTTCCAAAGCAATCTTCAGAAAAGTCCTATCTATGCCTTCTCTGCTTTTGGCCCCCAAAGGAGGATCCAGAATCACTAACAAGTGACTCGGACAGGCGGTTAGATGACAGGGACGCCCACACTGAACCCTGCCAGCATTTGTTAACACAAACTCCGGGACTCTCCTGTTGAATGTTTTCAGTGCATCTTCATCCGGGTCACATCCAGCACTCAACGTGCTACTTATAGCCTAGTCGGATACTGTTCTAGGAGGAAGATGGGCTTTTTGAATCTGTCCACCTGTTGCAGGCAGCTCTCTGGCTCCTGAAGCCTTAGTTTCTCTTTTTCTTTTCTTCCTTTCTCTCTCCCTCTCTCCCATCTTTCTTTTCTGTATGAATTCACAGAGTTTAAGGGCACTGGACCTGAGGAATCTAAGAGCACCATCTGGTGTATGTCACCTTCTTTACATTTAAGTTTCTGCTTTTAGCAAAGTAAAACCTATCCCTTAAAATATCACATAAGTATCTATCAAGTAATCTCTCATATAATTGTCAAGTAATCTGTCAGTTCATTTTTTTCATGGAGACATCCTTTGTTAAGCCCCCATGCACCATCATCCTGAGAATTCCTTTCCCCTTTCTCAAACGTAGGATCTGATTCCTCGGTCCAATGTCTTTCTCATTCTCTCCCTTCATTTTGGTAGAATGTTTCCTTCAGAAACTCCTAAAAATGCATGCTTGGGAGGTACATGGAAGGCTTGTGTGTCCCAACTTGTCTCCATTCTCTCCTCATACTTAATATTTTGGCTGGGTATAGAAATCTGAGTTGGAGAGTTTTTCCTCAGAATTTTTATTCTTGCTTCCATGTACCCTCTGAGAAACTGCACACTCTGATTCTTATCCCTTTGTATGTGAACTGTTTGTTTTCATCCCCTCACTGGATACATTTAGGTTGTGAAAGTGCACACTGGTATGCTCTGCTGAGGCTCTTCTGTTCCTTAAGGAGCGGAGTGTCCTGTGGGCCCTTTTGATCTGGAGACTCAGGTTCCTCAGTTCTTCAATAATTTTTTCACATACTTTTTCACTTTATTTCTCTCTGGAATTTCTGTTGTTTGAATACTGAATCTTTTTCTCCCATTTTTCATCTTTTTTGTCAATTTCTTCTCAGATTTCCTCAACTTCCATTTCTGTTGTTTAAAAAAAATGCCAAGAACCTTTTCTTATTCTCTTAATGTGAATTTTTATTGTTTCATGTGCCTCTTTCATGAGTGTAGTATCTAATATCTATGAAAAAACTATGATGTATTGATATTTTCTTCTCTGCATTGTTTCTTCCAAATTCTCCCTTTTTTCACCTTTCTTTGAGTCTCTGTAATCCAATTAAGTTAGAAACATTCCCTGACTCTTTGATAATCCCTGGCCATCTATTCACATTTAAGACTGAGGCACTAAAACGCTGACTGGAAGCTTCATGTGGGGCTCCTTGGCCATATGGCATCACAGCAGTCCTGTTACGGGCCTCCCTGGGGGAGATCCACCTGTGAGCTGGGTAATTTCCTGGGATAAATCCCCAGTAGCCTGGGGAGTAGCATTATTGCTGCCTCTGTTCAGGGAGCTGAGTGGAAGAAGAAGACTGGATAAATCTCACATTTATCATGTAGACTTTTATTTAAGCGCCTTGTATTCAGTATGGCCGTTCAACCTCATTTTCTTGTGTCCAGAAGTTCAGAGCCTCCCTAGCTCAACCTCTTCAAGAGCAAACCTCACCTTTTCTGACAGGACGGAGAGCAGTTATCCTTGCTTTCCAAGAATGGGGAAGGAGATCTATCTATTCCCTGTGAAAAATGCCCACCACGCCTCCTGTGCTGACTTCATCCTACACTACCATTTTGAGAGGCCCTGGGCACCATTAACTCTTGAATGTGACCACGATTCTGTATTCTTAGTTGTACTGCCTTTGGAGCACTTCCCTCACTGCTCACTTAATCAGTGAGGCTAAAGAAATTACCACCTGTCCATCCTTTTTGGCCTCTAGAAATCTGCTGATACCTCACATATGCTTCTGTGGCCCTTAGCCTTTTGGATTTATGCCTTTTTGATTTCTTTATTCTCGTGTCAGTGGGATTTTTTGGGGAGTTTTTTTTTTTTGCATGTTTATTTGTTAATTTAATTTTTTTTGAGAGAGAGAGTGTGAGCAGGGCAGAGGGCCAAAGGGGTTGGCGGGGGGGAGGGAGGCAGAAAGGGAGGGAGAGAGGGAGAGAGGAGAGAGAGAGAGAGAGAATCTCAAGCAGGCTCCACACTCAGCTTGGAGCCTGACTCAGGGCTCAGTCCCACAATGATGCACAGTTCTGTCCCACAACTCTGGGATCACGACATGAGCTGAAATCAAGAGTCGGACACTCAGCCAACTGAGCCACTCAGGGGCCCCTTTTTTGGCCATATTTAAATGGAAGTCCATGACAGAAGCTTTAAGTTAAAAAGGATTAAAGATGTAAAATACTGTCAACTACAGCAGCAATAACTGCAGCGAGACAGTTACTACTTAGTAAGGACCTCATGCTGCCTGTGTCATCTTCCACAACGACCATTCTTGTTTGTTGCTCGTCTGGTCCCCTAACCCACGGTAAATCTTCGTACTCTCTTAACCTAGTCATATCACCTTCTTAACCAAGTATCCCGCCTCACACACACTGCTATACATAATAGGTGCTCCCCCTAAAAAAGAGAATTTGATGTAATCACTGATCAGAATTTTGTCGCACATCCATGAAAAATCCATAATACTGCCATAAACCCTTGCCTCAGAGGATAGTCCGGTTTAGTCTGACATACTGAAATGTATTTTCATTTGAGATAGCTCAGAGCTTCTTTTTTATGTCTATTTATTTTGAGGGGCAGGGAAGAGAGAACAGGTGGGGGAGGGGCAGAGAGAGAGGGAGACACAGAATCCCAAGCAGGCGCCATGCTGTTAGGTCAGAGCCTGACGTGGGGCTCAATCCTATGAACTGTGAGATGGTGACCTGAACTGAAATCGAGAGTGGGAGGCTTGAGCAGCGGCACCGCCTGGCGCCCCTGAGATGGCTCACAGCTTCTACACTGACTTCAGGAAGGCCTGAGACGCCATGTGTGAGATCTGCTAGATTTCCTACCCCTAAGCACAAAGACCATATCCTGTTTATCTTGTGTCTCTAGTGCCTAGGAAGAACTGAACGTAATAAATGAACATGTTTATTGACTAGCAATTAGAGCTGAGGTCTTTTCCTACCAACTGCTGTCTGGCCTTGGGCAAGTGACTTGTTGGACTTCACTGAGGTCCCAAAAGAGAAGGTGACTTTGAAGAAGTCAAGAGGAAGAAAAGGGTCAAGAATGGAATGCTAGGGGACACTTACACTTAAAAGGCAGAAGAATGTGAAGTAGGTGGAACCAGAAGGGGGAGCGTGGAAGCCAAAAACAGAGAAGCAGCATCACACGAGAGCATATCAGCTAAGGTAAGGTAAAGAAAGGGAGCTTGCACGAGTCACTGCTCTGCCTTCCACGAAACGTTTCCATACTCACTCCTTCACTCGTGGTGTAGATGAGGCGTGCTCACCACTCCTGAGATGTTTGTGGCCGGAGCATGAAGTTGTGCTGAGCCCCGTGTGTGCGTGTGAGAACGTGCACGTGTGTGTGAACGGTGCGTGCTGCGTGTATCAAGGAGGGGCTGCGACAGGGGAAGGGAACAGGGCCCAGAGCCTGTGCAGTAACCGGCTGGGAGCTTCTCCGGTGGGTTAAGGAGGACGCGAGCTGCTCATATGTTATCAACCTACGACAGATCCTGGAATTACTTACTTAGCCTGGTTTAAGCTGAACAGAAACATCAGGGCCGGGGAATAAGATTCCTCTGGTGTGATGTGCCACAGGGCGTTAGTGCTCTTTGTCCCCAAGCAATGGAATCTTCCGCAGAAACATCATGGCCTGGAATTTGGAAATAAGTAGGTGGCTTCAGTCTTACTATATTTCATCCATTCTAAGACTTTTTCCCCTCTAAATCACTGAAATCGGGCTGCATCAAATTAGCAACATTTTATTCTTCCTTAAGGATGCATGACATAATGGTGCAACTTACCCTTGATGGCACTGATGAAATACCATCGGAAAGAATAAAATAATATGTACTCAGCAGACGTTGATCAAGTCGTGCATATAAGTCATGGCTCTAAAGGGAGTTTAAAATTGCTTTTTTAAAAAATGTGTTTTACACTGTGAGTTGTTGCCTCAGCCCAACCTAACGGTTCTGCTTCTCGTGGTGAGCAATGCTATGCCCTCATCCCGGGACCGAGGTCAGTGACGGCCTTAGGGGCGCGGTTCCTGTCTGCCTCCAGGCCCCTGGAAGTTTCCCAATTCGCCTGGATTTTCCTGTCAAGTGTTTCTAGCAGATGTCCTCACTGTATTTTCATTATATGAAAGAAAAAATTTAGTAAAAAGTATCGGTTTAGATTGACAAAATCATATCCATTTAATTTTTAGGCAGATATAAGTTTACCATTCTTTTATTGCAGTTTTACTTAGAAATTTGACTTGTATGGGCACCTGGGTGGCTCAGTATGTTGAGCATCCGACTCCTGATTTCAGCTCAGGTCATGATCTCACGGTTCAGGGGTTCGGGCCCCGTGTCCAGCTCTGCGCTGACAGCGTGGAGCCTGCTTGGGATTCTCTCTCTTGCTCTCTCTCTGCTCCTCCCCTGATTGCATTTTCTCTTTCTCTCTCTCTTTCTCTCTCTCCCCCTCTCTCTGCTCCTCCCTGACACACACTCGATCTTTCAGGATAAATAAATAAAACTTAAATTTTTAAAAATTTAACCTTTCAAACTCAAATAAATAATTGAGAATGTCCAAAATCCACGCGGAGTATTTTTGTGGAAAAATGGATTCATACCTAGATTTTGAAATGTCCTTAAAGAAGACAGACAAGTGTTACCAGTTCCGCCTCCCCACCCTTGGCTTGGCTCCCTCCTGACAGTAGTGCAGACACGTAGGAGCCACGGGGAAAGCCAGAAAAACCACTGTGCCTGTAAAGCGGATCATCAGTGTATCTGCAGGCAGCCGTGGATCGTGCAGCTGGCAGGGGCCTCCACTGCTATAAATCACAAAAATAAACGTTGGATGAGTGTTTTATTCCCGAAGAAGGGGAAAGAAAACCTTCCTAGGTGCCATTTTCGTGAGTGTCAGCAGAGCACTTTTCAAGCCAAGCAGCAGAGGAGGAAGGTTCTGGAATGTGCCCTCAGGGAGAATGTTCCGCACGAGCGTTATACCTCTCATGAGGCATGCTGGACAGCGTGTGTGAAATGTAAACGCGTAATCTGAACGGTCTGGCGCTTCTCCGGGGTGGTGGATTTTCATATTGCTCGCTCTCTCCCTCATCTGCATACCTGTAACATGCAGTTTATTACATGTTTCAGATGCTCAAAAATTGCCTTAGAAATTTTTCTTTCCCTTCTCTCCCCCGCCCCCCCTTCCTAGTCCACATGGTACGTGACTCTGTTCTGTCCTTTGAAGACGGAGTCCCCCCTTGTCTAGGGCTCCCTCACACGGACACAGTGCTTCTTGGGACTTGACAAGCAGGAAGCACGATGCGAACTTAGCCACTACCTGAACTTGCTAGTTCAGGCCTATGTATTCACCTAATTTGCGCCGGGTGCTTAGCCCGCCGGGTTTAAGAAGATCGGCCTCTGTGTCCTTGTGTTTTGCAGGCGGCTCCGCCAGAGCCCAGCCCCGCACATGGCGGGTGGCTTACCCACCACTCTCTATGCCCGGCCCTCGCTGCCCTTGCCTGGGTTCCCACAGGGACGTGCTTGTTTGGAGGAATTTTGAAGTGATTGTATCTTTTTTTTTTTTAAATGTTTTATTTATTTTTGAGAGAGAGAGAGAGAGAGAGACAGCGTGAGCAGGGGAGGGTCAGAGAGAAGGGGAGACACAGAACTAGAAGCAGCTCCAGGCTCTGAGCTGTCAGCACAGAGCCCAACGCAGGGCTCGAACCCACGAACCGTGAGATCATGACCTGAGCCGAAGTCGGACGCTCAACCGACTGAGCCCCCCAGGCGCCCCGAAGAGATTGTGTCTTGAAACTACCTTAGCTTCAAACTTTTCTCTTCCATCTACCTTCCCCACCGAGACATATAGCCAAAGCGGAAGAAAGGGTGGAAAAGAGGGGCCCATATCTGTTTCTGCAAGAGTCCCGCATCTGTCCGTGGCTGATGGAGGGGTGGCACCACTGTGATTTCTTCAGACTGCAGCAGGGCACAAGTAACACACTCGGAGACCATTCAAGAGGGCAATGGAAGTTTCCCCATAGGTTAAGATCACTTACTTGGAGTTTATTATTGTCATCAGGAAAATTTTCTCAAATACTTTTAGAAAATATATAAAGTGACATAGTATAATCAGGACACAGAATAAAGGGAATTGAACCAAATTAGCCACAGGCTTTCTTCTGATACCCAAAGTGGCTTTTGATCAAGCATATTTTTAGGGGAGAAAACTGTAAAACTTATTATTTCTGGACCTTATTCAATGTGCTATTGTTTTCTTCTTTCAACTGAAATAAGAAGAAAAGCTCAAAGTGAGGAAATTAAATCGGTGGCAAATGATTTCATGATTTCAATACTGCTGACCTTGAACTTATCATCTGCAACATAAAGCGGTGGGTGTCCTCCCCACACCCCACACCCCCCCCCCCAAAATGCTCAATGGACTTTTTTCACTACTGCTAAAAAAATTCTATCTTTTAAATCCAGACGGGGTGGGGACGAGGGAGGGTAAGTGGCCTGTATTTTCATCCTCTGATTAGAGTGACATAGGGGCACCTGGGTGGCTCAGTCGGCTAAGCGTCGGACTTCGGCTCAGGTCATGATCTCACGGTTCGTGGGTTCGAGCCCCGCGTTGGGCTCTGTGCTGACTGCCAGCTCAGAGCCTGGAGCCCGTTTCGGATTCTATGTCTCCCTCTCTCTCTCTGCCCCTCCCACACTCATGCTCTGTCTCTCTCTGTCTCAAAAATAAATAAAATAAAAAACTTTAGAGTGACATATTTTGAGATTGACCCGTTTGATTGTTTTTTTTCTCCTTAGTTGTGCTGTATGGTGAAAACAAGAAGCAATTAGGGAACTCTAAAGGGGGATGGGACTTATTTTGCTTTTCAGTGACTTCAGGAAATCTCATTCAAGTTAGTATATACCCCCTAGGGTAGGTTTGGACTATTCTATCAACCATTAGACAGATTTTATGTGCAGTGAAAAAAAAATACCAGTAAACAAATATTTTCATTTGCAGAGTGAAAACTAAAACACACAGAGGTAGGCTGAAAGCAAACCAAGAGAAAATGCTGATTTGAGAAAATCTCTGTCACAGATCAAATGACTCAAAGAATACTTTGGGGAGAGTGAAATCACAGCGCTGGTGGTCTGCGCCCGGAGCTTGCGTGTCATTGGGTTTTCCCCAAGGGTGACTCTGAGGGGAAGGGTGCTGGTACCGCCTGCTCCGTCGGCGTTACACTACCAAGGATTCAGATGTCCTTGGCAATGTGGTCTCAGGAAGGAATATAAAGCCCACCCTCTGGGGCTCTGTTGTGTGACTTCCCATAAAGTGTTCTCATTGGGAAACTTTCAGATCTGCAGTGTATTTGTTTCAGGAAAGGAGAGAGGGTGATTTTAGTGCAGGAGTAGCCCTTACTCCTCAGGAGTGCCCTAGCTCGCCCCCAGGGAACACTGAGTTTTCACGTGCAGATGGACATCCAGGCCTTGGTGATCCCCAGCTCTGCACTTTAGCTGGGATTGAATGCACTATTCATTTCTTTCACTCTTCTGTCCATCCAGAATTTTCCCTCCCTGGTTTCTGGAGCCAGTGCAGGGGCGTGATTAATAGCGTCTCAGGAGCCAGGCTGCAGGGCTGGGAATCCCAGCTCTGCCAGTAGTAGCTGTGTGACCACGGAAAGTTGCTTAACCTCTGTGTGCCTCGATTTTCCCTACTGTAAAATGGAGACACTAACTACTATTCATTGCATAGAATGACTGTGAGGTAAGCGGATACAAAGGTCCTAGAATGCTGCCTAGTACCCGGTAAACACTTTGTAAATGTTAGCTAGTTTGACCCTAGCTAACTAGGGTCAGACTAGGATGACCCAGATTAGGCAAATTATGAGAGTGGAGCACTGTTTACTTTGTGGGTTGTCTTTTATTTACACATAAATATGAGTCCACAAGCACTTTGGTTGCTATGGAGGATTCAGTCAGTTAGAATTTGAAGGCTACATACGTTGCTTTTTTGGTCTCACGTAGGGATTATGATTTTAAAGAAAGTGTTTCTGTTCCCTCTACTTGAGTGTCAAATTCAAACCCTGGGATGCTCTGTAGATAGTTGGTTTCTAAGAGGCAGGGTCACCACGAGGTTCTCTACAAAGACCCCCAGGGGGCTGCTCGCTCAAAGCGGCCGGGATACCAGGAGAGAGCAGGAGTTTTCAAAGCCGCAGACCACGCCCGCTGTCCCTTTCTTCCCAGCTGGAGAATAAAAGTACAGAGGGACCGAAGCCCACACTCGGCCCTGAAGTGCCACCTGATCTCGGGAGGTGTGTGATGCTCCGGGCACAGCCATCTGATCCTTCCCTGAGGAGCGGGGCAGGGCAGTGTCCTCACACTCGTGGAGACGCATCACTGCACGTAAACTGAAGATCGGGAGACCCAGGATTCTGATCATATATTTTGGTTTAAAACAAAACAAAACAAAACAAAACATCTAGGGGGTTTTCTTTTTCTTCCAGTGGGGAGGTTTTTCATTTGTTTTAGGAGGGCTGTTAAAGAAGTGCATTTCTCTAGAAGGGTTCAGGGTTCATCCCAACAAACCCACACTGAGCCCCCAGTGTGCCAGGCGCCGTATCAGGCCGTGGGCGTCCCCGGGGCCCGAGAGCGGCACGTAGTCCAGAGGGGAAAGAAACACGGAGCACGTCACCTCGGAACAGTAGGAGGGACTGAAAACACAGCAGGTAATTGTGGCGCCCGCCTGGATACGCACCCCTCTCGAGAGGCAGTTTCAGGGATGAGACGGCAGCCAGAGCCGTCCCCACACTGTCCCTGCACACGGGGAAACAGGTGGCTGACCACAGCAGGGCAAACTTTACGGAAGTAATACCTGAATAAATCTGAATTAAGCAAAAGAGTGAACATCAGCGTTTTACAATTAGTGAGATGGATACAGACAAGGCGAGCGCCTTCATGAACTGAGTGAAGGTCAACCGACAGGTGTGTAAAATACTTGGGAAGTCTCTCAGGGCTGCCGTTTTGTGAGAGCGCCATGCACACCAGCCTCCCTTTCTCCCTGACCCCTCCGGCCCTGTCCAGTGCTTGAAAAGTGCTGCTTTGGCTACAAAGGAATCGATTGACTCAGCACTACT